ACAGAAACACAAGCAAAACCACCTGCTTTTCAGCCAGGTTGGAGCTGTAGGGAGTTCAAACCAGATGAAAATCTTTCCTTCTGCCTTCCGATTTAGCCTCACAAATGATTATACAAAGAGGTGCCTTTGTTTTTGCATGACCTGGAAAAATGTTTGTGTTCTAACAGGTTTAAATACATTACAGGCGCACTGCCTAAGGTTTAATTAAAACACTATGGGAAACCAGGCATCTGTAAAGCAAAAGCCTGCAGATCGTCCCTAAAACTCCAGAGTTCAGATCTTTGCAGAAATGCACCATGCTCTTTAAGTTTGTCTGACAGAGTTTAAAAACAAGAAGCCTCCCATTTAATTTCTTAATCGATGGAATAAAATGATCAAAGTCTTGGCTGTGGCCTTGTCAGGGTAATAGAATTGAAAAAAAAAGAGATGGAAATATCAAAGGGAATAATTGACTGCAATATCGTGAAGGGTATTGATTTTGTGCTTCAACCTGTCCATCTCTTGCCCTGATTTTAAAGTATGCTTGTTTGGGATTTTTTTTACCCTTTCCTGTAAAATCAATGAACACACAGGGATGCATGTGAAAACACATAGAAACAATTTTGATGGGGGTGACTCACAAAGCAGAAAGAATTAAAAATATAGACTCAGCCCCACTATAGTGTGTAGACACACAAAGTAAGTGGCCATTACTTTCTTTCACAAGTACACTATATTGCCAGTTAAAAAGAGCCAATTTCTTCCTTGAAATGAACTGAGGTATTCAATACAGGCAAAGCTTTTTCGTAAACAGAAAAAAGGGCCAAGGACGACTCTGACATACATTTCAGTATTGTTACACTGAAAGCAAACATTCACATGTCATTAAGAGCAGCTAGAGAGTATTAAATCCCGAAAGACAAACACAGCTAGTTGTCAACATCATAACACAAATGGCAGGTGCCACCACTCACCGTATGAAACAAAGTCACCATCACAGGTTTCCCGGATGGGTTTATAATCACCACTGTGTCTTCTGACCTCTGTCCTGGTCTGAGCTCTAAATGTCAAGCCCTTAAAAATCCCCTTTTTCTGACCAGTTTCAGCTTTTAACAAGGCATTTTTGGATATGAATATCATATTAATATAGTATTAACTGCACTAGGTCCGGGTTTCAGAACACCCGTTCGTGTCTGGAATACAAACTGTTAAACTCCATTCAGAATCACCTGTGCCTGTGACAGAAGCGTCTGGTGCCATATTCTTTTCACATGCAAATTACTTGTTTTTGGAAGTTGACAGCTACTGTAGCAATGAGGAAGGGCAGAGACACTCCCACAGTCCACCCCCACTTTTTCAGGCCTTCATTTGACACGCATTCTGACACACCACAAGCATCCCGACTAGCGGGGTGGTGCATCTGAATCGCAGAGCTCGGGCCGAGCCCAGAGTAAGTGCTTGCACCGGCTGAGCCAATCGAGAGGCTCTCGTGCACCACTGATTGACTGATGAGTGAGGACTGTTTAGACAGGTGCAGGGCAGCAGGCTGTGAGAAGCATGACCAGAAGAATGTTTGCTAAACAACAAGACTGTAGACTGTTAAACCAAGGGATCAATAAGACTGAGCAATTAAAAGCAGACCTGGAATAACAACCAAAAGATGCATGGGCCTTTGAAGATCAGGTCTGACACACATCCTGACATTCAACCCTCCCTTCCATGCAGAATTTATCCCTGTCCTCTCCAATTCCTTTTTCCTATATTTATTCATTCTTTTTTTGCACTCACTTGCTTGGTGCTCTTCATCTACCTGACAGCTTTCTGATCCTCTTTCTCGAGACTGAAAATAGCTGATAGGTGTGTGGGGCGGGGTAGCAGGGGACCCCAGCCGACACAACTGTCAAGCAGCTCAAATTCTGCTTCCCATCACATGCCTACCCTCGCGACTGACGTCCTGCTCTTTGAAGACAGAGGAAGAGACTAGTTAGGGAGAGGATCATGAAAGAGAATGAGGGATGAGGATGGAGAGATGCTCGAGACGGAGAGCTGAGTGAAGGAAAATGAACGTGCACGTCGGAAAGAGAAACCAGGCCAGTAGTTGGGAGTCAGCATGAGAGAGAAATGATTGCCATGTGTGGCGAGGAGCTTGTGCACAGCAAATACAGCTGCTTTATTAACTATAAAGAAGCTATTAATGCACAACTGCGTGTCTAAGTGAAGGGTACCAAGTGGTCCTCAAGGTCTGGTCCACAAGGCCACTGTCCTGCAGGTTTTATAGGTCTTTTTATATCCCCGGCTTCTTAATATTCTACATGTCCAATTAAGTAAATAGTGAATTAATTAATTCATTATTTCATTAACTAATTAACTAAATTAAAGTTCAATCAAGTAATCAAGTGTAAATAGAAAGTAGGTGGAAAGAGAACCAGAAACCTCTGGCCCTCCAGGACTGGAGGTGCTGTATGTACCTTTTGATGAATCAGATGGGTCAGCTTGTCATGGGAGTGTCTAACCATGTCTTCTGGGTTTTGTTCCAGCAGAGCTGTGAATGGCAAAATTGGATGAATCAGTTGCTTTATTAGGAGGAATCAATATTCTTTCCAGCTCTTCTCTCTTTGACCATTGGTCAGCCCTGATGTAACATACTGTATGCATCACAATCTATTTGCAAACAAATAAGAAAGTATCAGGTTTACTTGCAGAACTGATGCTGAGACACACTTCTCTAAATTAGCTCCCTGGGGTCAGCTACGCCTGACTACCTGACTATCAAGGCAGACACCACTGTGCTCAGAGAGTCTGTGGCTTAGAAAACAAAATCTCTGCAATCAGACAGCATGTCCAAACAGTGTTGAAAGATCCATCCCTGGGCAAGGGCTTTTCTTGTAAAGGCTACTCTAACACTGCTACTGTACAAAAGTCCTCGGGATGTTACAGTAAAACTGTAATCAACATCGCAGGCGGTTTACACAAATCATCTCAACCCCCTAGAAAGGCGTTAGTATAGGTTCATGTTTGTATAAATGTATTATGAGATAATTAATTTTAAACGATGTTTACAGAAGGTCAAAGCACAAGGCCAGGAGAATACAGGAAGGCTGGGTGCCAGGAGATATTTCCAAGAGCCTCCTCTCTCTCTGCTACAGGTGCCTCTCGCTCAGGGCTGGGCACCTGCCAGCTGATCATGCTGGCTTGTGCTGCACTGTGCCCAGCTGTCAGGCCTGTGCTTTGTGGTTCAGAAGACTGATGAATGACAGTGTCGCGTTATGGTTATGCACTATAACAGTCTTAACCACCATCGGGGCCAGCTCAGGGGTTAAACAGTGGACTTTCAGGACAAAACACAACTCTATAAATGTATTTCCAAAAGACACATGGAAGGTTACAAATGAGAGGAGACCATCTGGCCCATCTTACTCATAATAGCTTATACCGTATTGATTATTGAAGAAACCCACTTCAGAAGTATGGGGCTGTAGGAGGCATTCAGAGTTCTCTTTTCAATTAGCTCTTTCTACTTTAGTCTTCTGGTTCCTGAGACCTTTAACTCTCATATTTAACTATTATGAAAGACAATGCACAGAGAAAGAGTTAAAGAAAAAAGTTACTGCATATAACATCTTTGTTTGTTTACAATGCTTACAATCCCAGCATAGGAAACCTTTATTGTAATGTGCTGGAAATGCCTTATCTGTTTTATTTATAGGATATTCAGGATCATTAAATGTTCTTTAAAGACTTCTTTAAAGTGAACACTGTACAAAACTATCATGAGCAGCCAAAGGCAAAAAAATAATTCATTTCTATAAGCAGACCAAAGACATATCGTATTAGCTACTGTGGCTGTCTAGCTGAAGGAATGCAGTGTTGTGTTAACAGCAGCTTTTCTGTGTGATGCCTGTACCACTGCTGAGACTACATGGTGCTTTCAGACACTTGAACAGAAGTTTATGGTACGGTGATGGCACAGTCTTGGAAAGAACACTGAAGTCACAATCTAAAGACAAAGCAGTTTTTGCAATGAATAAATGTTATTTTGCATTGTAAGGACTGTTGCGATGACATTAGAGTACCAAAATCTGTAGTTGAGGTGCTGGCAAAGGGACAGACAGTGTCAACCCCCCTTTGCAAAAATAAAAATGAACAAAAAAAGAACAAACCACATAAACAGCAGGCAGTAGACAGCACATGATCCACCTCTCTCCCACACGGGTGTCTTAAATGAAGTGAGCTGCTGACAACACCTGCCGTTTAGGGAGGAGGCTGGAGTTGATCTTTAAAAGGCAGAGCCTATGTGCTCTGCCAAGTCTCCTTGCCCATCGGGAAAAGGCCAGGCCTTGCAGATGAATGTGAGCTGCTCAGATGAAGATGGATGTCTCTGTGCTGAGGCCACTGAATAAAATCCCATAAATATTTAAACACCTGAGACGGGGAGGCTGCTGGCTTGAGTTATGTGTGTAGGAACAGAGTGGTGCCTAATTAGATCGGAATGGAATTCATTACCCAGGCAAGGGAAGGGCTTCTCCTATGTTCATGCAACCCTTTGCAGGAGGGGCACAAGTGGGAAAGCATGCAAAAGGTACAAGCTAGCCCAGCAAACAGGGCAGACTGATGCTGGTGCTTTGTGAACTATTACTGCACAACAGTGTGTCAGGGATACTGAACTGTTAGGGATGCCCAACACCCCTTTCAAATGAAGCAATCACAGACACCATCCCACGGGGATACAGTTAGATCCGTTCTAGGGTTTACAAGTACAGGCTGTGCACAATGGGCAGTGTTAGGAGGCTTCTAACAACTAACGTGCTGCAACTCTAGTAGCTAGAAAATAGCTAAAACAGGACAAGGGCATTAACCTGACAGGATTTAGAAATATTCGCAGCCCAGTCTCATGCTAGTGCGATGGCAGAGTGGCCTTACTGACCTTGTTTAATTTCCATGAGGGTTACTGTACTGCAGATGCGCAGTTGGCTAGTGTCTTGGCATTGACCCTCTCCTGCCTTCCCCTCTGCCCTCTGCAGACCCTGTTCCCGAGCCCGGAGGAAGGCTGGCAGATCTACAGCTCAGCCCAGGACCCCGATGGGAAGTGCGTCTGCACAGTGGTGGCCCCCGCTCAGAGCATGTGCACCAGGGACCCGCGCAGCAGGCAGCTCCGACAGCTCATGGAGAAGGTAGGAGGCGCGGCGTGGTGGGTGGAGACTCAGCACAGAGCATGCAGTCAGTTAACAGCTCCCCCTGTGGCACTGGGAATTACTGGGAAGCCCAGAATACACTAACAGAACACAGACAATCCCGCATGTACAATTACTTATCCTACCCAAAAAAATCAAACAGAGCCATTATTTTAAATAAAATAATGTTAGGTCGGCCAGAACCTTGAACTTGTTAGAAAATGAAGGATGGATGGATGTTAGGTATGATTATGGAGAAAGACCTTTTGAGTTTTTCATTAAAACACACAGTACACTCTGTATTACAAAGTAATTTTGGAGAGAAACTTGTCATGCTTTCAAAAGTACCTCCAGTCTAAAGCACAGCGTCTGCATCAGACCCTGTCTGGTGCACAAGACTGGGAGGACTACATGCAGGTGTTTGTGCCTCTTCCTTTTCCTGCAGTTGACATCTTTATGCTAAGGCCTATTATTTCAACACGCCTGGGATGTGCAAGTTGGCAGCATGCAGAAATATTATTTTTAGCCCTCTGCAGGCACATTTGTCAGTACAAAAAGAAAAACGTGGAACTTTCTATTAACTGAATGCCAAGCAGGATATAAAGTAAAAGAAAAAAAGCTTATTGAGTAGAGAAGAAAAGCACAGTAACTGGATTTTTAAATCAATCAATGCCTGCTTTAGAAAAACAGTTGTACATACTGTAACTCATAAAGGACCATAAATGCAGTATAGTAAATAATAAAAACAAAAGTATAGAAATGACATGAATGATAAATGGAGAACATGACAGCAATCAGAGTGCTTTCTAAGTACTCAGTACAATATTGTCCTGTTTTGCAGTCGTGACACCGTTCTTCTTCCTTCCCTTATATATATTTAACAATGAATTCCCTGAGTAAGTGTGCCACTCCGCTAGGCTGCCTGGTGGAGGATTTTAAATGGCTGTTGCCTCTGCCTGTTGCTGTGGCCTGGGCCGCCATGCTAAACTACTGTAGCTCAAGGATGACAGTAAAATTCGACCCAGAGGACGCAGAGTGCTGTTGGGCTCCCTGATAAATGGGGCTGTTGAATCCGGCCTCCCCCAGTCTGTGAAGCAGCATGGGCAGAAGTACCTGTAGCACTTCCCCTTATCCAATGGGAGTTCAAAGGAAAAAAGTCATGTGAGGAGGGACATGATTGGGAGAGAATATCTGCTCTATGATACTATGGACACAAGTTTGGCAAAACATTCCTTTGAGTGGAACTTAGAGGTTAAGGGACCGGGGATTCCATTTTCCATGCTAAAAATCCCCATTGAGGAGAGGCTGGATTTGTCTGATGATTTTACAAGACGTTACCATTTTAACTCGGCTTGCCTGCCTAGTCAGATACACTTAGAATAACACCTTGCAGGAAATATCCAGCACTTGTACTGGGTTACATGTCCAGTAAAGGAGAGTTTACAGCTTGAAAATCATAAACTGCCTCAGACTTAACAAGGAATTCTCTACGAATATGTGGGCATAAACTAGCATGGATTGAGCATGGATTGAGGAAAGCACAGCAAGGGCGGACGGACAGGAGCGCAGTGTGTGGAACAGTAGTAAGGTGGGATAAAGCAGGACACACGTACCCTCCCCCATGACGTTATCATGCTTCCTGCACCTCGCCCTAAACCGCCTTCTCCTTTTCCACTGCGGGCACGCAGCAGACGCACCACGGCGCACGGGGCATCTGTCACAGTGCAGTTAATCATAAACCACCACGACTCGTTTAGGTAACCATACTGTATCCCTGGTTCAGGCCCTCCCACTGTCACAGCTGAGCTTGTCACTTCCTCCATTAGCCCAGTCGTCTGGCCCTTGACACTCCTGCAAAGTATTCCTACTGTCTGATGCATGGCAGTAAAATAAAAGCAGATCAGAGCTTTGCTGAAAGCCCCCAGATGAGAAAGGAGGAGAACTGCATCCAAACTTTGAAAGGCGCTGCGGAGCTGAATTGTAGTACGGTTTGGTTAATAGCCTTCTCGGGACTGAGACGCAGGTCTGAATGGCTGATATCCATTACTGCACAATGTTACTTTAACCCACATCTTTACTTCTCTTTGAACCCCTCCCCTCCATTAACTCTCATCTGTCAACAGCCTTCCTCTGCATTCTTCCTGCTCCCCTTAGTCACAGCCTTGCTCTTTCACACTTTCAGCATGGCACTAAATGCATGAGCTCTCTAATTCTATCAGCGTCAGGGCAGCTATGTGTGCACAAAACAGTATACAATCTCTCAGCACATTTGAAGGTTTTGTTAGATCAGTATGTATAAATTCAGCCATCTAGACTGTGCGTTCAATTTGCTTCAGTCGAAAGCACACTGCGGTATACTACGGTCACAGCTCTAAGAAGACTGACAGGTGGCACTTGTGTTGCAGTAGTTGTTACTGAAAAGGTAATAATCACATTTCTTAGGAATACAGCATTTTATATGTTACATAAACATAAAATAACATATAATACATAGCCTAGCTTCCATTTTAAAATGTATATAATTTTAAAACTGTGTACAGTGTTTTCTCTGAAAAGGACATTATATGCCTTGAATGGAGCCTGCATTGGACCTCGATTTTTTTATGTGTTTCACAGAAATTCTCAGAAAACAATGAATTTAATGAAGCGACTAAACTAATCAAAACATCTGAAATTGTTACTGTTGTTAATTTGCCACACAGGGATTCCTTATACCGCAGCCGCCTGTGGTTGTAAGTCAAATCAGTACAATACTAAATATTTATTAACAACATCCTGTCTCAATAATTATAGTATATGATACAATTGTTTGTCACTAGCATGCATACAGTATGACTAGCGGAGGAAAGCTAAGTTAATAAACACTTAGTACTGTACCGATTGTACTGACAACCACACGCAGCTGCTGTCCTATGAGGTTTCACAGGGCCACCTGGCAGTTTGAGTAGTGCAATCCTGCATCAAATTATTCAAAAAAATAAAAAAGCCATAAACCACTGCTGCTGATGAGACCACTGTGCCTGAAGTGGTATACTGACTGACACCTCACACAGTCTTGATGGCTGCATCTGTATATGATCAAATTAGTTCAATTTCAAATGCATTTGAATAAGAGAGAGCATCTGTGGTGAACAGGAAGAGATCAAAGAGTCAGACGCTCACAAGATGGAATCTAGAAGCAAGTCAGTGTAGTTCTACAGAGAATTTTTATTACCTGATGCAATAATAAATGTCGAGGGGGGAAGGAGAGTTTGTCTTCTGTACCAATTATTCTACATCTTTGCAGTCAGTGACTTCTGTTCATTCCACCGAAGGTCTACAACGTGAGGGCTCTGCAGACAGGCAGCCTTTGGAAAGGATTGAAAAAAAATTTGCATGCAATTATTGCCACGTTATTATCAGTTAGAGTTGCAGGCTGAACGAGGAGCTGGGGTGCTTGGGGCCGTGAGAGCAGCTTCTCGGACAGCTTCAATCCCTCATCAGATAAAGAGCTGCTTCTGGTGCCGGGCTGCAAAGTCTTAATAACTTCGGAATTACACAATGATGATTAAGACTAAGGCAAACCAAAAAGGAGGAAAAGAAGGCTGCTTAGTTACGTCAAACAGCTTTTGATAGACGATAACTTGAAAGCCTTTCTTCTGACATTGTATCAGGGCTGCTTGGCACTGAGATTCTAAGCTTGCAAAATATTCAGTAATACTTTAGATTAAGCTTACACTGTAAATAAGGCTTTAATAGATAATATCTGCTGAATAATAATTTGCTACCTAATAAGGGTATACTCTATAATATTAATAACATATTAACCTCACGAGTAGATCACGGTAGATCAAGCTATGATCAAGCTTAGTGCAGTGCAGATATACAGTAGTGATGATATTGTAAACTTTAGACTAACACCTAATATACTTACTACAAAGTATCAGTAACATTCAACAGAAATTCACTTTATAAGACCTTCTATTTTAATGGAATATCCATTAAAACCTTATTCATACAACCAAATTTAAAGGATGACCAAAACATCAATCAAACACACAAACGTTTAAGGTTTTAAAGTTAAAACACTATTTTAAAAACAATAACCCTCAGAAATCCGAACAATTTCTCAAGGGTTCACGTGTTCGTCCAGCAGGAATAAAGTAGAGCCCTCACCCCCCTTTGTCTCTTTCTGATAGGACAGCATTTCTTTTCTTGGCGTGCTGGAAGTCAGACAGGTGTGGAGCCGGGGCTAAGGAGGAGATTCATCAAAACCTGCATCCCACACCCCCCCGCTGTCTGCTTGCGCAAAGGTTACAATTGCCACTCAAGGGCAGGCATTAAGAAAAGCCTGACATTTAATTAACCAGTCAATCTGTATGATTGATAAAGGACCAGCTCTTTTTGCTAAGAAGAGATCTGGCAGCTGGGGAGGAGGGGGGGCAGTACGCTGGGGAAAGGTGTCTGGGGTGAGGAGTGTAAATGGGACTCTGTACCGTTGCTGAAGAAGTGCACAGCGGACAGCTAATGGAGCAAAGTGGCTACTGCGGCTTGGTATTATTGACACCCTTTAGCCTGCCCTGTGTTGCTGCGTTTGAAAAGGAGGGACGGGTGCTGCCCTAATTCCATTTACATAAATCACAACAATCTTCAGTCCGGAAGAAGGAAGATAAAATACAGTAAGAGCTCTTTTTAAAGAAAAATACTAAAATACTTAACACAAAAAATCACTTACACTTTACACACCTGCTGCAATAAGAAAATAATATTTTCCTTTCAGCCGAGAAGGAATGTTTGATGCAACAAAAGATTGCATTGGGAGACCAGAGGTTGCACCAGGTGATTCATTTGGGAGCAGGAGAAAATTAGATTTGCTGCCCCGTTTGCGACCTCTGACACAAATCCATCTCACCCCCTCAGTGACCCCTCCAGGATATAGCACCTCCAGACAAGTAGATATAGATTATGCCGTGAGCTGAGTGGAACAAAGGAAAGTATGAACACAAGGATAAAAGAACACC